ACAGTGTGTGAGTGTCTCTCTCTCTCTCTCTCTCTCTCTCTCTCTCTCTCTCTCTCTCTCTCTCTCTCTCTCAACAGCCTACGTGGTTTTGTTTTTACAGCAATGCCGGGGGTGAGAACATCGTTCAGGTGGCTCTGGATTTCTGGAGGGACGGTAGAGAACGAGAGGAGATCCAGCTGAAGGATCTAGAGACGGCACTTTCACTGTCCGTCTTCAACAATAAAAACAGTACGTCTTGTTTCTCTTTCATATTTGCTAGTATATGGAGCAGGAAATAATCCTCAGGACAAGTGTCTCAGTGCATTAAAAGTCATTTTGTTCATCAGTCTGACTGTAGTTTGCTTACGGTTTCCATTGTAATGAAGTTCTCTTTCTGCAGGTGGTTTCTGGCACACTAGTTTAATTGATAAGAACCTGGTGGATTTCTTTGTGCCGTTCCTTCCTCTGGAGTTCAAGCACATCATTCAGTGCGGTTTGGCTGAGATGGTCTCCAAGGGTCACGACCCAGATATAGAAGTGGTTGAAACCATGGCCCGCGACCTGAACTACTTCCCTAAAGAGGAGCGTGTCTTCTCCATGCAGGGCTGCAAGGTCATTCCCGCCAGACTGGACTTCTATGTTTGATCGAGAGGGGAAAAAACAAAGACTCAAGACAGCAAACCTGTTATCTTCTGTGCGCTTTATTTCACAGAACAACTCCTGCAATCGAAGGAATTGCAGAATTGCTCCTCGGACTGAATGACAAGCTGTCTAAAGACTGCCAGGGAGGTTTTTACTCAATCACAGTTGTTTTATACACTAATGGAGACTGTTTTATTCATGTCAGCTGCTGAAGTCCTTGTTCTCAAGGGCGTTTCTGTTCAAGATGATGAAGTTGCAGAGGAAGCTTTTTATTAAATGACTTTGCACATTGTGGAGCTCCTAAAAACACTGGCTGTCAGCGATTTTATAATGATCTGTATTATCATGAGGGGAAAATTTAATTTGCCTTTATCTTGAAATATCACAGATACATTTCTGCCTTTAAAAAAAAAAAAAAAAAAATTGTCATGGTTAGTTGCGGATGAAGAACTTGAATCTCATTTTGACCATTGAAACTTAAAAGATCATTTGTTTTTCCAATGCATCACTGTCAGGATTCATATTTGTGTTGTCGATATGTGCCACTGGTTCTGATTGAAGTAAATCAAAGTGCCTGTTTATCTTACAAGAGTTCAGGATACAGCCGATGAACCCTTTTTTTTTTAATTAATAATTATTCTGCATTATTTAATGATCTGGTTTGAACATCTTTTCAGATTTGAGACATTTATGAAACTTTAATTTTGAGATGCGCCAAGATAACATACTTGAAGGATACTATCTACATATTGATTTTGATAAAGCTTTATGATCTAAACAGACTCGATTTGTCTTGAGAATTTTATTATTGTGTACTTTTACAAATTCATTTACAACTGTATATCAGAAACTGATTCTAGAAATGAACAGAGTATACAAATGTCTCCAGTGTAGAATAAAAAAAAAAGGTATTTGTGACTTTCTCTATTTTTTTTTCTTGCAAATTTTGTTTTTATATCTCGCAATTCTGAATTGCAAGAAAAAAAGACAATTGTGAGAAAGTTACAATTACATTTTATTTTATCCCATGGCAAAACAGGCTTCCATACTAACGAGTGTCAAGTTTATTACAAAATTCTAGGCAATTAAATATTTTTGAGCAGAGCAAAACTAAAAATGCATATTAGCAAAATGGGGAAAAAAAGTCCTTTTCTGGAAATCACAATTTTAAAATGTCCTGCTATTTCCAGGTTTACCAAGAATAAATGAGCTTATGAACTTGATTTGAATGAACCAATTTCAGTGTTTGCCAACAGTGATGATGTTTTTGTGGGCAGAGCCTCTGGTGGCAGAAAATGACAGTTTTAACGTAGCAGTCTATTCAAGCAATGGAATAAAATAATAAAAATGTAATTTTGAGTTTATATTTAAAAATGTTGACTTTTTTTCTTGCAATTCCGAGATTATAGCTCACAATTCTGGTAAGAAAAATCAACTCGTCAATCTTTTTCATTTATAATCCCACACTTCTGGCTTTTTTTCCTCAGAATTGACAAACTCGCAATTGTTGACTTGAATAAATTTATAAAGTCCGAACTATGAGATATAAACTTGCATTAGCAAGAAAAAAAGTTGGAATTGTGAGATAAAATAGGTAAATGTTATGTAAAATGTTATAGGTTTAAATAGTATCTCATGCATGTGTTTCAACTGTAGGGCTAATACAATATGTCCCCTATATGAATATTATATAGACCTATTGTTTAAATCAAATTTATGCTTTAAAAGTAGAGTAATCATAGCAGGTTTCATCCATAGTCTGTCCGTCTGCATTTAGCTTCAAATGGCGTCTTTGACGACAGTGTTATATAAAAATTATTTGCATTCTGATTCTGATGCACAACAATACATTTTTTCTCTTATTCCATGGATTTTACCTGTTTTCCCTCCACTTGTTCACAGTGTTTTTCTGTCACCACTATGCACGCGCAGCTCTACGTCTACTCCAAATTGGTTTATTTGATCATTTTAACAATTTGTAATTATAAAATCAGAATTTGTTGGATTTATAGACTTTCCTTTTAGTGCCATATTTATCCCATAAAGGTTTAATAGTACACAATGTAACTTAGTCTGTAAATGATGACTTTTTATGGCATCTGAATGGCAAGTGGAAAGTGTCCCAGGATACCATGAAAATACAGTGATATTGCTGTGACACCATCACTGTATCGCAGTACGGTATGCAAAGAGAAACAATTGGAACATTTTTTTGAAAATAAACAGCACTTTATTTCTGATCCACATGCTTTGGGTCCAGATGTGACGATGGAACTCCATCAACCGTCTTCAAATCATCTTTTCTTATGATTTCCAAGATGATTTCCGATGACAACAGTATTTCACATTAGTGCTGCACTCGGAGGCACAGTTCTATATCAAATGTTTCAGGTTTCCATTATACAAGCAAAACGGCATTAATGCAACCATCGTTTTCTGGGTTATTCATCACCTGGGCGTATTTACCTGAAACACAAGATTATATCTCAGTCTTTCATTCTGCAAAACACGTTTTTGAGCACAAAAAGGGAAGAACCAATCAGACACTCACCCCAGATGACCTTCCCGCCCTGCGTGACCAGTCCAAGCTCACTGACGTTGACCTCAATGACCGTTCCCTTGGTGATGACCCCTAGAGTGGTGTAGAGGGAGGAGGACGGGTTCTTCTTCACGCCCAGGATGGGCAAACAGAAGGTGGCCTTCAGTTCAGGATGAGTGACGTGTGCCTTCTTAAACCTCAGACCCTGTAGACAGTAAAATCACAACTCCATTTACATCAAAATATAGTAACATTTTCTTAATAAAATAAATGTATATCTTTTGTTAAAAACTTCACATATTTTTAAAAATACAATGTATCTTTATATTTTATTAAAATATCTATTTACTTTACAATTAGGTTCCATTTGTTAACATGAACTAACCATGAAAAATAATTCTAAAACATTTATTAAACTCAGTTCGTTAATTTCAACATTTACTATTAAAAGTTGTATCTGTTATTATTATTTGATGGACCTGAGCTAACAATGAACAACTGTATTTTTATTAACGGAGATTAATAAATACCGTAACAAATGCATTGCTCACTGTTAGTTAATTTTAATGCTAAAGGTAACTAATGGGATCTTATTGTGAAGTGTTAACAAATATTTACATATTTGATGCCTGTAGTGTGTAATAAGCCTGGGTAATACATTCTATATTCACTATGCATTTTTATTTATTTATTTATTTTATAGTGACTTGACAAACGTATACCAGAACCACAATGAAAAAAAAAAGATGAATTAAAACAAATAAAAAATAAATTAATAGAAAAATGAAGTTATATAATCAAAATAATAATCACAATTATTATTTTTTTTAAATACTAAAAAGTAAATATTTCTTAAAATAAGCATTATTATTATTTTTAAATAATAAAAAAAAGTACAGTAATATAAATGAACTTTTTGGTCTTTCTGTTGTCACAACTCACTCAAGGTATTATTTTTATCTATACAGCCCAGCTTGAGAGTGCGTGTGTGATATTTTACCATAGGTCTGATGAAGCGCTCATATTTGGGCGGTTTGCGTGTGAATCCGTCTCCTACGAAACAGACTTTGGTCACCATCCTCTTCCAGGCCTTTTTCTGTCTCTTTCCTGTGCGGATGACCTTCAGAACCTCGGTTTCGCCCTGGGCTCGGACCTTCGGTAGAGGAACCTCCCACTTTCCCTAAAGAGGCACATAAATCAAAAGGCAACAAGACATTGGTATATGCAAACAGACTGACTTCTGTAATGTGTCACACTACTAAACGAGACAGGATAATTAATGAGGAAAAGACATAAAGGAAGGATGGGACTTGATAACTGACTGGATTGGTCAAATCTGATCTTCGGTAGAAGAACCTCCCACTTTCCCTAAAGAGGCACATAAATATATGCAAACAGACTGACTTCTGTAATGTGTCACACTACTAAACGAGACAGGATAATTAATGAGGAAAAGACATAAAGGAAGGATGGGACTTGATAACTGACTGGATTGGTCAAATCTGATGTTTAAACATCAAAATATAAATAAAACCTTCTAGCTTTCATATATTCGCTCCAAATGTGTTGTTGTTTTTTTTGCTCGGCTACAACAGAACCAACATTTAGTCTACTGGTAAAAGATTCAAATAATAAAGATTTGTTAATGAAAGAAGTCTCTTCTGCTCAGCAAGGCTGCATTTATTTGATCAAAGCTGAATTTTCAGCATCATTACTCCAGTCTTCAGTGTCACATGATCTTCAGAAATCATTCTAATACCATTCAAAAGTGTGAGGTAAGCATTTTTAGTAGAGGTCGACCGATGTATCGGTTTTGCCGATTAATCGGCACCGATAGGTTTTTGCTGGAACTATCGGTTATCAGCAAAAATCCATGCCGATAGTTTTCCGGGTTGCGTCCATTGCTGGAGCGGCTGAGAATCATCAAGTGTTCAAGAATAGAAGCAGTTAAAGTGTGAGAGTATACATACAATATCCATATGTATATAATTTTAATGCTATAGCCTTTGTGTATATATTTTAAGATGTGCATCTTTAAGCATGACAGTTGAAATTAAATGGTAACACTTTAAAATAAGAGTCCATTTGTAGCATTAAGATGAATGAAAGCTGTGTAAGTATTGTTCCTTGTTAGAGTGTGTTAATTTCAACATTTACTATTATTATTATTTTTACTACTACTACTAGTATGGTTCACTACTGTTTTTGTTAATAAAGCACTATTTTAGTTTTTGTTCAGTATCAATTTTAAAACTATCGGTTAATTAATCGGTATCGGCTAGTGTGGTCCAACCTAGCAATCGGTATCGGCAAAATCCACTATCGGTCGAACCTCTAATTTTTAGTGTAAGAGCAGAAATCTGTGGTCTGATTGGATACTTACAGCTTTCTCTTTCCTCTTCTGTTTGATCATGTTGGACAGAACTTTGGCGCGTGATTGGCCCTCTCTGTCCAGCAGGTAAGCTGGCACCGCCCCTTCTGGTGTCTTGTCATCATCCTTCTGTTTGCTCTTCCTCTGCTCGTGCATCTTAATGCTGTAACACAAATAATCATGCAGCAGTTCATTCACATCATTTCTGTCTAAATTCTGACCAAAGTGAAGCGGACAGTAAGTAACGCTCACGTCTTCTTCATCTGGATCTTCTCGGCGTGTCTCTGCTTGTGGTAGAGTTTGGCTTTGAGGCCGATCATCTTTCTGGCTTTGTGCGATCGCTCGTGCACCTCACGGCTCTCCTTCTTCCTCTTCCTCTCGTGGTGGTCCAGACGGTAGCCATGCCGCTTGCGGTGTAACTCGATGTGCTCGTTCTGCGGCTGTACACAGACACAGGATCGTTTGAAAACTCCAAGTTCAACTACATCTCGATATTTAGTGATATATTCTCAAATTACACTTAATTGTAATATTGATAATGAACTGTTTTCCCAAATATGAATCTACGATGATCATAACTGAACTTACGGAGTCCACTTTTTTTCAGTCATGGGAAATATGACTGTATGCAACAAATCAAAGCACAAACAAATAGCCATATATAAACAAATAAAGATAGCATGCGAATGTGGCTCACTGGGGTTTGTAATAACAATATCAGATGATAAACAACTACAGTTAACAGTTATTATGACTCATAATTGATCAAAGGGTAAGGTATAGGACACAATATATATATAGTTTACTAAAAAAATGTTACTTGAAATA